GATGATAAGTGACCATCTGCCTGAGTTACTGCCTCAAGAGCATGAGACATTTCTGATTCTCTCCAAGCTGGCTGGCTCCAGGATTTCCAGGCTTAACAAAGGTCAGATACTGGTTCCCTCCAGAAGGGACAACTCAAGGGAGATGGGGGTCCGCTTCAGAGTCACCCTCTTCTCTAGGGAAAGATCTGGATGTAGATGCTACAGGTCAGGCCTGTGCTTCTGGAAGCCTTTGGAGATAGATTGGTGCCGGATCATCCTTATAAAACATCTGTAGTCCTCATACTGAGATGCAATATCTGATTACATCTAAAAAGCAGTTAAAAAACAATACCAGCTTTAGGGAGGCCAAAAACCAAGTCCCTGAGATCGTAAAGGTATCTACTCCACAGACTCCACCGACTCTGCTCTCAGCAGACAAGATCATCATGCATACAGTCTGTGGAAGAGGCAAAAGAGCTCCTAGTCTGTACACAGTAAAACTGGTAAAGAGAACTAAATATGGTCACTGTATACACAGATGATATGACCACTCCTTAGAGCGGATAAGGGGAAGGATTTTATTGTAGGTATGAGAGGACAGCCAGAGGCATCTGAAGGAGTCCAGAGCACAGAGAGAAAGTAGTATTCTGGACATGGCCAGCAGACTGGACATGGCCAGGACTATCTGTAAGAGATGGGTGTTGCGGTATTGCTGCCTGGGTTCCCATCTTCTCTTTAGCCCCTAAAATAACACACGGAGACTCTATTAGATACAATGCTGTTGGCCAATGTCCAGGGTTTCTCATTGGCTAGTTCTATCTTAAGTATTAACCCATAACTACTAATATGTATTTCTATAAAGACTTACCTTTCCGAGGATGGCATCCTGATGTGTCCTGTCTCCCCTGGGATCACATGTCAACTCCCTTCACTACATTTCCCAGAATCTTCCTTGACTCCTAGTTCCACCTGTCTTGCTTCCCTATTGGCCAACAGTGCTCTTTATTCATCAACCAATAAAACAGACATATTTACTGAATGACATCTCCGGTCAGAGGGGAGAATAGCAGGGGATAGAGAATAGAGAAAACACAGTGAGAATAGCAGGGTCATAAGGGGAATGAGTAACTGTGTGTTGGGAGAGGCTGTGAGCTGGAGGCATCAGGGTAGGAGAGAAGGTTAGAAGGACTATGATGCTAGCATGGACTTTGGAACCTGTAGCAGATATTTGTGATGTCAGTATAAGGTCTGATATACTGATAGGCCCCAGGTAGCCATATGCCTTCCAGAGGTAAGGGAAACGGCTCCTTTTAGCAGATGGCTCAACAGTTAAGAGTGTAGATGCTTTCACGAAGAACCAGAGTTCGGTTCCCAGCACCTCCATTAGGCAGCTCACAAAGGCCTGGAACTGCTGCTCTAGATTTCTGCAGCCAGTGACGTCTGTGGGTGTGCACATACCCACAAAGATCTTTATTTATTTAAAAAATAGATCTTAAAAGGGCAGGGGGTGGGGCAGGGTGGGTGGAGTAGGCAGTTCCAGAGAACAACACCTGAGGTTGCTCTCCAACACATGTGAACACACATTTATGCACTCACCAGCAGAGTAAGACGATTGGTGACATATAAAGTGTCCCAAATCTGCTGTCACAGCAGGTGAGATGCAGTGAAGGCTAGTGAAAACTATGGCTTTGGGACGCTAACAGATGTTCACGACTTGAAGTTTAGGGAAGTCATTTGTGCCCTTGGCAAAGTAAATTTTTCTCACTAAGCTTCTGCTTCCTCATAAGAGTAGTAGCAAATTATTCTTATTGGGTGTAGTCAACATTAAATGGTATACCATAGGACAAATATCTGACTTTTGATGCACTATAGCTTATTACCACATGTGTAAAACAACAATATAGGTGTATTTATAGAAAAACAATTTTGAGACCAGGTGTGTATTAGACCCGGGCAGGGAAGCAATCTACGACTGTCTAAAGCAAGCTGTATTTAGAAGTGGTCAGCGGGTTGTCTCTCCCAAAATTGTGGAGTGACATTTTGTTTGTAATCTAACAAATAAAGCTTGCCTGAAGATCATAGTGCAGAGCTAAGCCATTGGTTAGCTAAATACCTACGCCACAAGTTAGCCATAGAGGACAGGCAGTGGTGGCCACACCTTTAATCCCAGGACTCGGGAGACTGAGGCAGATGGATCTCTGTGAGTTCAAGGCCACCCTGGACTATATGAGAGTGGTCAGTCTAAAAGAGAAACAGAGCTCACACCTTTATGCTAGTCACTTGGGATGACACGCCTTTAATCCCAGCACTAGAGAGGGATAGAAGGGAGTCTGGGGTTTGGTGGAGAGCATTACCGTCTGCACTCACACTGAGGACAGGATTGCCCTACGTTGGTCCTAGCCTTGGTAGAGGTAAGAACTCTCTAGTGGTTGGCTGCTTTGCTTCTCTGATCTTCAGCTTGAACCCCAATATCTGTTTCTGGGTTTTTATCATTTGTGCTACAAAGTTGAGATTTCAGAGAGTAGCTGCTCACTAGCTTTTGAGGTCCCTTTTATGGGGAAGAGTTAGGACCGATAGAAAACAGCTGTGGAGATAATAGACTTTTAGCACCTGAACAGAAGAATAAGGGACCAAGGGCTTAAGGTTTAGGAAACAGAAGTGTATTCTTGCAAGATATGAGACTTAATAATGTTTAAAAATGTGGCTCCTGTTTTGTTTTCCTATGTGGTAGCTTGTGGTGATATATTGTTTATGATTTATTAAAGCTTGCCTGAGAATTCAGAAAGCAAAGCCAGCCTCAAGCTATAGAGATCAGGCAGTGGTGATACACAACTTTAATCCCAGCAGCCACAGATCTAGGACATAGTGAAATATACCTTTAATCCCAGGACTCCGGATTAAGAGGTAGACAGCTCTCTGTTAGTTCAAGGCCATGCTGACTATACGGAATTGATCCAGTTCTAAAAGAAACAGCTTACACAAAGGTGATCTCAGCACCTGGGATCACACAACTTTAATCCCAGAATTAGGGAGATATACAAGACAGGAGCAGGGTCTCAGAGTTGGCACTCAGTCTGAGTTAGTTTCTAGAAACGTTGAGGAGAGCATAGCGGTCTGAGTGAGTCTGAGGAGCAGTGAAGTTAGGAGCAGTTTGAGGTGAGGTGAAGGTAAGAGCTTGTGGCCGGCTGCTTTGCTTCTCTGGTCTTCAGCATGAAGCTTGAACCCCAAGCTTTTATTTATCGTGCTACAGTGGCTCATGCCTTTAATCTGAGCACTGGGGAGGCAGAGGCAGAGGCAGATGGGTCTTTGTGAGTTTGAGGCCAGAGTGAGTTTCAGGACAGCCAGAGTTATGTAGAGAGACCCTGTCTCAAAAGAAAGAGAGAGAGAGAGAGAGAGAGAGAGAGAGAGAGAGAGAGAGAGAGAGGAGGGAGGGAGGGAGGCAGGGAGGGAGGCAGGGAGGGAGGCAGGGAGGGAGGCAGGGAGGGAGAGAGAGAGGAAAAAGAGTTTGGATATAACCTGAGTCATTATTTTGTTGTGTATAGTTGGGGCTGAGACTTGTCTTTTTCATGTATGCACACACGATACACAATTTAGACACAGCCAGCCAACCAGGAAATAGGGTGGACACACAACGGGAAGGGCCCTCCTTACTCTCCTTGTTCTGATCTACATCTCTTGGTGGCCTAACATCCAAGAATTTCGACATCAGTAACCAACCTGACGACTTGCAAGGGAACAGTAGTCCCCCTCCGAGAGGCATCACAAATGAGATTACGAAAGGGCAGTGAGTGTGCCCTTAGCCCAGCTTCCTGGTGACTTGAGCACACGAGGGAGCCCTTTGACCACCGTCGTGTCTGTGTTCCACACTGTAGTCACGAGTCTGTACAACCACACCTTAAAAAAATCTACTTTTCCAGGTCAGAATTCCGTGGGTAAGAATAACAAAACCCACAGACTTATATCCAGATTTAGCTGCAGATTAAGCTGTGTCAAAAGCCCCTTAAGAGCACAGCTAGTGCTCAGTCCTTTAGAATGCACCTCCCCACCGGGGCGCCGGTATCCGGGCTGCTCCTGCGTCAGTGTGCACCTCACTTCAGGCCGGGCCGGGCCAGTGTCGCAGTCAGCAGGCAGAGTCTGTCTGTCCCCCCACGCCACCCCCGGGTCGCGGCGCTCCACTTTGCACGAACGTCGAGGCTTGCACACACACTTTGCACGAACGTATAGGTTTGCACACACTTCTAGGTTTGCACACACACACGCACACCCCACGCACACACCCTGCCTCCACCCCCGGGTCAGGAGGCCGCAGTCGGGGCGGGGCGGGGCCGCCCGGAGTCAGCTGGCGGCGCGCGCACCGCGTGACCCGCGGCCACGTGACCCGCGCGGGCCCAGCCCTCGGCGCTGTCCTCTCTGCGGCCGCGGGAAGCGCGTGTGTCAGCGGGAGCGGCCCGGCGGGAGCCCCCGACCCCCGAACCTGGGTCCCTGACCGGCCTGCAGGGTAACGCGAGTGAGCGCGCGCGCGAGCGCAGGCTGGGTGGGGGCGGGCGGCCAGCCGCTGCCCTGCCGCCGTGGGGCTGCTTGCCGCCCTGGTGCTTTGGGGGAAACTGAGGCCCCTCGCAGCACCGCCCCCTCTGCAGGGCCCGCCGCCCCTCCTCAGTACCCCGCGGCGGCCCCGCTAGCGAAGGGAGCCCGAGCCCCAGGACCCGCCTGGGTGCGGATGAGGGTGTGGGCCCTGTTGCTAGGTGACCGTGGCCTCCGACTGCGCGCGGTGGGGATCGCGCGCGGCCTCTCGTGGGCTGCGCCCGGTTCTGAGGTCCAGGAGGCGTTGACCGGCCCGCCTTACGCAGGGGGGAACGGGCCCAGCAAATTTGGGGCGTTGGGAAGCCCTCCTTGGCCAAGAGCTGGCCCCAAATACCGCCTCCTGGTGGGTGGCGTGGCCCCTGGCCCAGCAGCCTGTTCACCTGTGGGCTGGGAGGAAACCCTGCCTTCCCTTAATTCAGCTTGTTGTCTCCACGTCGCAGGAGGAGATGAAGCTGATTATCCTGGAACACTACTCTCAGGCCAGTGAGTGGGCGGCCAAGTACATTAGGAACCGCATCATCCAGTTTAACCCAGGGCCGGACAAATACTTCACCATGGGGCTCCCCACTGGTATGCGGTGGGGAAGGGAGGGTGGGACGTGTAGGGGCGGGCAGAAACTTTAAAAGGTGCTTTAAAGTACCGTTGGTGCAGTGCCCTCCACGTAGGGGGTAAACAACGCACCTGGCTTCCTGTATGGGTTGGTTCAGGGGCTGCCTAGTCCTGTAAAATCCTGGAACAGAAGAAATCTTGGTGAGGTAGTGTTAGACCTGAGAAAAGCCAGTTCCACAAATGTCTAATTAAAGCAAGCTTTATTTAGAGGTGTGCCAGGAACCGCCCAGCCGGCTGTCTTTCCCAAAGCACTGCACGTGAGGAAGACAAGGCTTTTATAGAGCTCAGGGGTAGGGGGCTTCCAAACGGGGTGGGGGTGGGTAGGCAGGGTTATGGGAGCAGAATATAACAGGTGATCAAAACAAGGTAATCACAGCACGTAGTTATATAGTCTAGGGAGTCCTATAACCTTTTGAAACAAAGTTAAGGTTTCTAGATGGTTATAAATAGCTTTTTGAAACAAAGACGTGACTGCCATTCCTGGAACTTGTAGTACAGTCCAATCCTTGAGAAACAGAGGTTTAATCATAAACAGGAATGAACCTAGTTTGTCCTTATTATAAGATGACTTTTAAGCTTAGGATGAAGGCAGGCTGGTTCTTGAGCAGGAGTGACATCCTAACCCAACCCTGGTGCCCTGGGATGTTCATTTTATGAGATTAATTTCTGCTCTCTGCATGTAGGGGGTACTAGAAAGTCCTGGTCACTGGTCGTGGGAGAATTGAGAAATTAGTCATTCAAATAATTTTCCATGAAGCTTAATAGGTTATAAAACCGAATGTCTTCTGGAAAAAGTCAGAATATTACTTTTTACAGGAAGATACTTTGGTCCGGTGCCTCAGAAAAGTATCCCGAATATTTCTTTCACAAGTGGGGAGGTTGGTCTTTGTGGTTTTGTCTGATCCATCCACTAGAAAGAGACCTTCAAACTTTTTCAGTAAATTACCTAAGGAGCAAATATTTCAGGCTTCAATATTGTAGTTCCTCATTCTTTCACTGTAGGAAGGAAAACAGCCATAGACAATATGTACATGGATGTGTGGGGCTATATGTCAATAAAACTTTATTTGTAGACACATAATTTTCATATGTCATGAGATATTCTTTTGATTAAAGACTATATTAGAAGTTTAAAACCGGTCTTAGAGCTGGAGCGACGGCTCAGCAGGTAAGAGCACTACTGTCCCTGTAGAGGACCCGAGTTCAGTTCCCCGCACTCAGTAGTGTGATCGCTCCAGCTCCGGGAGAGTCAGGGCCTCTTCTCGAGGCTGTAGACCACTTACTCGCATGCACACCCCACAGATACACAATTAAAAGGAAACCCTTTTTGTTTTTTGAGACAGGGTCTCACTAGGAACCATTAGGCTGTCATGGAGCTGGCAGTGTAGACCAGGCTGGGCTCAAACTCAGAGAGATCCGCCTGACTTTCCCCTCATTGCTGGGATTAAAGGAGTGCACTACCGTGTCCATCAAGTACATTTTTTTCTTTTAGCTGTTGAGCCTCCTCTCCAGCTCCAGCTAATAGTTTTTGAGTGCCTGCTGTAAGCCAAGCAGTTAAGCTTCTAGGGATATAGCAACAACATTAAAAAAAAAAAGCATAAATTCCTGCTTCTTAAAGCCTAAATTATAGTGGAGAAAAGAGAGAGTAAACAAGTTAATTAACAAAATACAGAGTACTGTAGAAGACAACAGGAGAAGAGAAAAAACGACACAGAAGAAAGGCTGTGCTTAGTGGGGAGTTGTGGTGGTGGAGACGGTCTCTGGGAAAGCAGTATTGAGGGAAACCCTGTAGAAGTGAGCTAGCCATGAAGTCACTTGAAGGAAGAGCATCCTGCAGAGAGGACAGTGGTGGAGAGACCCTGAGGTGAAGGAGGTGAAGGTGGGCCGGCCTGTACAGCCTTTGTGAGATTAGTACTATGGGGCATGAAGAAGACCCCGCTGGGCTTGGAGGGAGAGTGATCTAGGCTGGATGACGTTGAGTTTTCCCTTCCCATGTCTTTTTGTTTTGTTTTTTTGAGACAGGGTTTCTCTGTGGTTTTGGAGGCTGTCCTGGAACTAGCTCTTGTAGACCAGGCTGGCTTCGAACTCACAGAGATCCGCCTGCCTCTGCCTCCCAAGTGCTGGGGTTAAAGTGGGACACCATTGCCAGGCCCCTCCCACATTTTTTTTTATTTTGAAAATTTTTCAAATATTCAAAAGAATTGAAACCAGCAGAATGGAATAGTACTGTTTCCCTAGATTAACCAGTTAATGGCTTGGCACATTTCCCTTTTTCTCTGGCTCTTATTGTCTGTCTACCTTTGTAATTTATTGTTGGAGCCACATGAAAGCATGTTCCAGATGTCATGACCCTTGGTCCTGAATCTTGCAGCCCTTACCTCCCAAGAATGAAGACGCTTGTTCATAACCCCTATTACCCCTGCGGTCCTAGAGACAGATCTGCATAGTGTTCTGCAGTGTCGTCTGGTACCCAGCCTGTGTTCAGAACCTTTCCCCAAAGGGCTACATTAGGTTTTCTTTCTTTCTCCTTGTCAGTAGGCCTGGCTGGGGATTAATCCTGGGTCTTCAAGCCCCTGCCTTGACCACACCCCCATCTGGGAAGTTTAGTTTTAAATTAACCCAGTATCCAGTTAGGGTTCCTGTATCAGCTGGCTTCTTCAATCTTTTACTGTCATGTGGTCCTGCTGGTTGTTTACCTGCTCATGAGACTCAGCCCAGGGCTTTGCTATTGCCCTGATGAGTCTTCCCCGAACTTAGAAGTACAGGGTCACAGCTCAGCTCTCTACATAGTGGTCTCTCCTAGAAGAACATCAGTAATCAAGTCTGGTACTCACTCAGATATTAGTGACCTCTGTAGCTGTGTGGCGGACCCTGGGAGACCCTCACAGTCTTGGCCCCTGGAGCCTGGAGTAGACAGATGGTAGGTGGGGCTGGAGCATAGTGGGACTGCAGATGTGACATTCTCTTTGTGGTTCTCACAGGGAGCACCCCACTTGGCTGCTACCAGAAGCTGATTGAGTACTATAAGAATGGGGACCTGTCCTTTAAATATGTGAAAACCTTCAACATGGACGAGTATGTGGGTGAGTGTCTCCTGTTCTTCCCGATTCTAGGGTACTCACGCTTCTTCTCTCACGGGCTCAGCCTTGGAGAGGAATGGTTTAGTCAGCTATAAAACGGGGCTTACCTAAGTAGTTGTGTTGAGAGGTCATGATTGGTGCAGAGGCTTGATGTGCGTAGCAGACATTTTATTGAGTACTTACTGAATATGGAGATGCTTTCCCCCCTCTGTTGGGTCCCCAACTCCATGCCATTCTCTTTGGAACACCTGTAGATGAGATCCTGGGATCCAGGTTCAGGGTCTACACTGCTTTCTCATGTATACCCTTTCTGTCAGGTACCCTTATGGAGGCTGAGACTTGTGCATTTGATCTTCCATTGTCCCCTCTGACACCCAGTGGTTTCATTTTAAATGTTAAAAAACAAAGAGAAACCTGGTAAAATAAATGTTTACCATCTTCAAAACTGGATATTTTGAAGTAGCCCAACTACTGGGGTTAGGAGAAAGGGTGGAGAAGACAGGACGGATGGCAGCTTGGGAAACAGACGTTTCTGGCTGAAAAGCACCAAATCAAGGCTGCAGAGATGACTTAGTGGTTAGGATCACACGCTGACTTTAACCCCAGAACTAGGAAGGCAGAAGTAGAATCTCATTGAGTTTAAGGCCAGCCTGGTCTACATAGCAAGTTCTGGGATAGCCAGGACAACACAGGGAGACCCTGTCTCAATCCCCTTCCCTGCCAGAAAAGAATACTTACTGCTCTTGCAAGAACCCAAGTGCAGCTCCCAGCACCCACCGCAGGCAGCTTACAACCACCTGTGACCCAGCTGCAGGGACCCAGCACTTCCTTCTGCCGCGCCCGAATCGCCACAGACGCCTTTTTGTTGGGCGCTTTTTAATGCACAGTTCAGTCTCAAGTGCCCTCACACCACGGTGACCCCGTCAGCACTCTGACCGTCAGACTGTGTGTGTGTGTGTGTGTGTGTGTGTGTGTGTGTGTGTGTGTGTGTGTCCCGTTTTCCTCCTCTCACCGTGCTGGAAACCACTGTTCCACTCTGTGTGTCCCCAGCCTGAGTTCTCCAGGCACCTCATGCGAGTCAGGCAATGAACGCATTTTGCTGTTTGTGCTTATGGTATGTACCAGAATTTTGTTTTTGTTTTTGTTTTTCAAGACAGAGTTTCTCTGTGGCTTTGGAGACTGTCCAAAGCCTGCAAAGCTGACTAGCTTGTAGACCAGGCTAGTCTCGAACTCACAGAGATCTGCCTGCCTGAGCCTCCTGAGTGCTGGTTTTAAAGGCATGGCTTTAAATACTCTTGACATTGAAATTCTTTTTAAACATCTTTCGGTTTGAGAAGTGTCACGTCTGCTGCGCGGCCTGTGTCCGAGAACGTGCGGAGGGTGTCGGGTATTGATAACACAGAGACTCGTTCAATGATATAAAGAGAACTTTAAACAGGCTCCAAAAAGGTTCAAGAAAAACTTCCTAAGAAAGGCTCCCACCAGAGAAGCCTCTGCTCTCTCCTCTCCCCTGGCTGGTTCTGCTCTGACCCAGAGGTGGATGTGTGTGGGTTTTTGAAGGTGCGGTTAGTCTTTGGACAAGGTCGAGGTCAGGGCGGTTTCCGTGGGAAGGCCTTTCCCAGGAACTTATTGTATCGTTTTTAGTAAACATGTTTTTACTAAACATTGTCTTACAGCTGCCTACTCCCAGGCAGAAGGGGAAGTGGCCAGGAACTTATTGTATCGTTTTTAGTAAACATGTTTTTACCAAACATTGTCTTACAGCTGCCTACTCCCAGGCAGAAGGGGAAGTGGGTCTCTGCTCAAGGTCTGGTGTTCCCACAATTCACCCCTTTTTATTTTCAAATGAGGCACTCCTGGCTTAGGTCAAGTAGGGTCACCCTCCCTTTCCCGTCTTTGGGGGACCTTGAACCCCTGTTTTAGGTGGGAGGGGTCTTCCCCACAGGTTGCCCGTCATCGGAGATACCCCAACCTTAAATCATCTGTAACCAACCTTCATGGCTATCGGGATTGCCATGGGCTAAGCTAAGCAATACTTGGTTACGGATCTCTTGTCTCTGGAACAAGGCACGTTTGAGCTTGGCATAAAGCCAGAATGCCTACCGCCACTGCCACCATTTCCAGGACCCCCATTGACATAGCGCCTCTCCATTACCATACCCATCACCAGATCTGGGCCATAACATTCTACCAGCCTTCGTCTCTTACAAGGGTAACCCGCATGTGATTTACATTTACAATTTGATAAAGTTTCCAATCGTTTCAAGATCTGCTCAGGAAAGCATTTAGAGAGTGCACTTGCACAGATACATTGGGCACAATCATTGATGTTACACATGTAGCATTATGAAAAATATGAACAATAGTTGTCACATTAGGACAAGTTGCATTTCTCCAGAAAAATACACTGGCCTAGTCGTGATTCCAGAAACAGGAACCATCAAGTGACCATGTCCTGTTCAAATACTGAAAAGAGGCTTTTGCCACTCATAGTCCATACCAATGTCCAAATACTTTAAATGGGTCCTTTTTTCCCCTAAAGGGAAAACTGGCAAAATGAATTCTGTTGTTTCAAGATGTGTCAAGGGCAGACAGTTAGTCTTTCCAGTTCTTTGTTGGCTTCGGGATGAAAACTCACGGGTCCGGAAGGTTAATGCAGCAGGTCTGTTGAGAAACTGGAAATCTCGAACTGACTGTTTTCTTTCTTTCTTGGGCTGTAGATTCGATGACATCAAGAATCAGGAACACTGATTTAGGAGATCTCACTCAAACTGGCTTAGGTAGGCTCCCATGGTCTCAGGTCCAGTTTTTCTCTGCTCCATGCATCTCACTAATTGGTCTGACAGCTGCCGAAGCTTTATTCTTTTCCTACAAGAAAACACAAACATGCCCTCGACCCCAAATTAGGGTCTTCTCCACTGTCTAGTGTATGGATGTCTCCATTTGACCTGAGCAATGGTTGCTCAAGTTCCATCATGCCAGAATCTGTCTGAAGCTCACTGGCATTCACATTATAAAATTTTTAAATGAGGAGTGTATTATTTGATGAGTCATGTGGGGACTGGGGACATTATTCCCCCTTTTTTATTTTCTAAAAAAAATTTCTTTTTTGAACTGTTGAAGCTGGACCATAACAGTAGAAGGATTTGTCTACCCTCCTTGGTTAACTATCTAGGTAAATTGGGCTTACTAAATAACTTTTGAAAATTATTTGAAGTCTGTGAGCAGTCTTTCCCAATCTAACCTGTAGAACTCTCACTAGCTGACAAGGCCTCATTTGTATCTTAAATTTTTCTGTTAAAACATTAACAGACTGGCTGGATGTTCCTTTTGGCTATATTTAACGCAATCTAGGTAGCTTCTTAACTATTTTTGAAGGGATTTAAGTATCCTTTTAATCATATAAGCAGTTCACACTCACACATTCGCAATCACATTTCATACATACCGGTGTGGCCACACCATACATTCAGAACATACATGCATCTTTCAGTCATCCTTTTTCCCTAGGTCATGATTAGTCTGTTGCAATGAAGCTTCCTTAATTGAAATCTATGTAAAAGAACAACTCCAGCCAATCCTTGAACTAAAAAGGTTAAAAAGTCCTATATGTTTTTATCATTCCTTCATTTGAGCTACAGTCATGGGGTACAGCCGTACCTACTCCTTGTAACTCTGTAGATGCAAGGTAGAGAGGCCAGGCTTTTGGCCAAAAGTTTTTAGAGATGACTCACAAAATAGAACTTAAATGTAAACAAAATTTTCCATTCCATATACCTTTGTCTTTGTCTTTTTCTTTAATTAATACCAGTACCAAATTTTTTTTTTTGAGTCAGGGTTTCTCTGTATTGTTTGGAGGCTGTCCTGGGACTTGCATAAAGGTGTGTTGGGATTAAAGCGTATGCCGCTGGGAATCTCTTGGATTCCCCTACTTCCTGACCCTGGTATCAGGTTTAGGAGGGGAAACTCAGAATGTCTAGTTTCTGACTTTTTAATCTCATTGGCAGCAGCCGCTTCCAATGTATTATTGGTGTTATAAAAATTGATGAACAGGGAGCTGGAATGACTAACTGGCATCAACATGGGGGGGAATCCTCACCAACGCCCATATTTCCCTTACCTGAGTGTTCAGCAATGGTTGGATCATCTTTAGCATGGTGAGCATTACTAGTATCCGGAGTAGTATTGGGGTCGACATGCCTGATGCACCGTTCGGGGACCCAAATGGGCTTCTCACTTCCTGGAGGGAAAACACAAACAGCCCCTCGGACCCTAGCTAGTAGGGGAGTGGGTGGCTGCCATTTTCCTGTAATCAAATCCTTCCATCTGACCCATCCCAAGGACTGGGAGGGTTTGTTCCAATGTCTCTCCATAGCAGACAAATTATTATGATCTATGGTCAAAAAATTTAAAATGTAAAGTATGGTGGATAACTGAATATTGGGGGAGGTAACATACTCCCCCTTTTTTATTTTCTTAAAATACTGTTTGAGAGTGGCATGGGTGCGCTCCACAATAGCCTGTCCCGTGGGGTTGTGAGGAATACCAAATGAATGGACAATGTGATGTTCCCTGCAAAAGGCAGCAAAGCGATTGCTGGCATAGGCAGGGCCATTGTCCGTTTTTAGGGCATCGGGTACGCCCATGTAGGCAAAGGCCTGTAGGCAATGAGAAATAACATCTTTAATCTTCTCTCCTGAGTGGAGAGAGGCAAAAATCAGTTTAGAATACGTATCCACAGAGACATGCATATATTTTAATTTCCCTGCCTGCGGCAGGTGAGTGACATCCATTTGCCAGAGATGGTTGGCCCTGAGGCCCCGGGGATTTACCCACTCATTGGGAGAATTATGATAAGGGGCACAATCAGGGCACTGAGAGGTAATCTGTGTAGCTATGGATAAGGGGCACCCAGTGTGAAATTTAATGGAGCGGGCATTTAGATGATACCTCTCATGGAGCTGGTGGGCCAGCTGCTCCTGAGTAAATAAGACCCTAGGGCG